TGGTGTTTACTGTTGGATTATTTACAACAACCCAAATGTCTCTATTGTTAAGAGTAATTCGGGTACCCGACTTAAGATTTACGACAGTTCAAATATCGTGACGAGAAGTATACATATTTTCAAAAGATCATGAGGCGACAATTCAAAGCCATAAGCCATCCATAAGTACATACTTATTAAAGTTCACGTTTCTTCCTTTATAGTCTCTTTCTGTAAAATTTTAAATAGCACCTCCATTTTATAATTATACAGGGTGTTATGTAAATAGAGCAAAATCTTTCGAGGAATTCTTTTTCCAAGAACGACTGTTAACGATAAAACGTATTTTCTTTTTTAAATGTTTGCATTTGCAAGTTACAGCTTTTTGAATGTGACAAATAAAAGGGAAAAAAGGTATCCTAAAAATATGGAATTAAGTAACAATATACCCTGTATATTCCGTTTTTATTGTTACAAATTTAAACAGGTGATAGAATATTCAATTTTAAGACAAAAGTTTCCTATAAACATGTTTCGAAAAAATGCTATGTATAAGGGAGCTACATCCCCTGAAAGAGATGTGTTTTTTACTGCGGTTTTTCTACTATTGCAGAATAGGTAAAATTACAAAAGTTGGTACAACTGATAACCTTTAAACACTTGAACAAATTTAAAGATCAGTTGTCGAAATTTTTAATCACAGGTCTCTTAAACGGTGAAATAAATTTAATTTTTAATTTTTATCCTCTTTATGGTCTGTAACACAGACTGATTTTACTCAAAAACGGTAAGTTGTATCAAAAAAAAAACGCAAGAGACCTCTTTTTTGTGAAAAACTATGAAATTTTGAATTGTGTGGCTGAAAGTGACAAGAACCAACAGACAAAATAGTTAGGGTACTTTCATCCTAACCCCCCCCCCCATGTTTAGGACGCCCCTGAGAAAAAATTTCGACATTTCATCTTTGAATTTATTTGGATGTACAGTTGGAGACAAAATACTTTGGTCGTCACTTTTCTGACACTTTTATGTAATTCAAGCTTTAACGTTAAAATGAATGACAATTTCAAATTAATGACAGCTACTATATCTTACTATCAAAAATATGTACAACTTATCAACTATGATTGACAGTAGCTAAAAATAAGGTTAACAGTCCTAAAGCATGGTTTACAATTTAATGTCACTAAGTGACATTGACGACCAAAGTATTTTGTCTCCAACTGTACCTATAAAGGTTATCAGTTGTACCAAATTTTGTAATTTTATCTACAATGGTTGCTGAAATATTGGAAAAAAATCCATTAAAAGATTTAGCTTCCTTATTTAATATTTTTCCGTTTTTCGATACATGTTCATAGGAAACTTTTATCTTAAAATTTAATGCTTAAATTTGTAACAATAAAAACGGAACACCCTGCATATAAATTTTGACAATTATCATTGTTGAAAGATGCGATCAGAAACGGACGCAAATTAAGTGGTCATAATTTACGTGTAAGAAATAATAACATTATTTTGAAATGTTTCACCAAAAAAAAATTATAAATAATTAAAGTAAAATTAGCTCAAGTAAACAAAGTTATCTCGATTTTAAACCAAATCAGGCGGTACCCGATTAAAGACAGCCGCACTTGTACTTTGAGAGTTATTGTTAATCCAGTCCAAAATTTCTTCAGAAATCAAAGGTTTATTAGAACTTGCATTGGTAAACCTTTGTCTCCTTCAAATTGCTCTGTTTTCTTCGATTTCCACAGTAATAAGACCAACGGTTGTTGATATCTATAAGGTACCTTACTCCTCTGGTTGAGTAATTTAAAAGAGCTTTATCTTTTTTAAACAAAATACAATAAAACGAAAATTATTAATAATCATATACACATAGGAATCGCGACCCAAGGTTTTGGGCTATTTATGAAGTTGGAGGATCTCCACCTTAATACATTTATAAAAAAAAAGATCTCTCCATTTAAAAATATCTAGTCCCAGTAACATTTTTTGGCTAGAAGTGGGAGTAATATAAACATGGACCTAGTATAGTTACCTACCTAATACTACCTACCTCTATGTATGTAAAATTTAAAAGTATAAGAGAGATGATTAATACCCGTTTTATAAGCATTTTATTATTTTATAGTTCTAACATACTATTATAAATAATA